GGTTTGTTTACATGTCTGTTTGTGTGTATGTCTGCATGTATTCCTCTTTTTGTATGCATGCATGTTTACCTGTCTGTCTTGTTGCAGAGGTAGGCAGATGCGCCTCCTGGCGTGTTGCAGAAGCCTTTCCTCAAGACATGTCGGACGAAGAACCGGCCGAGCAGAAAAATTGCTAAGTCGCTGGTCGGGTGATGAGTTAGCAACCGCGCTCAGTGTCATCATAGCAGGCTGCGCCTGTAGTCATGCCAACTGGCAGTCTGTCTGGTTGGCTGGCTGGCTGGCTGGCTGGCTGGATGACTGGTTTGCTGGGTGGAGGGTTAAAACATACTGACACACTATGTTGAAAGTAGACTGAGGGTTGTTCAGACTGAAATTCTTAGCAATCAGCCTCGAGCTCTTGTCAAAACGAAAGAACATGGTTTGTCTTGCTAGAGGACTCGACCTATTAGTGGAGCAAATCGAAGGCGCAATTAATCAAGTTTCATCTCAACGACCCTAAAGGGACTTTAAAGCGAATCATGCGCATCTTGTTGAACCACTTCCACTCTGCTAGGCACCCACGTCTGCCAGTGGGTCACAGGGTAGATGACACTTTTAAGGAGAGCCAGGCTTTTCCCATTAACTCACTTAGAAAGGCATTAAAGATGAGAAAAGCATGTGTTTGTTTATAAAGACGGCTATACCCATTTTCAGTGTTGGTAACTTTCGAAATTATCATTGAAGTTTATATCACAATGACGTAAACGAAGTCACGAAGACTGGCCGATCTCACTCTACATGCCATATAAAGTCACAACGAGAGAATATTTAGATATAGATTAATATAGAATGGATTGTTAGTTATATTTTGTAGATACAAAGAGACACTTGGTTTCGATTAATCTTCCAAGATAACTGCGACCACACAAAAGGCCAAACCGTCTTGGTCTTGATACCTTCCAAGATAACATTGTTAGGGAAGCCTTCGTTTCGGATGAAAGTGCATGAAGAAGAGATTGGTTGCTCGATCTCACCAGATGAGGACGGATGAAATTCGTTGTACTGCAGCCGTTTGGCTTTTATACGATATTCAT